TCATTCGTGCTTTCTTTTATTTCTGAGAATAATTCCATCTGGCGTTAAGTCACTCTTCGTTTTTATTCTTCAGTTGGAATAAAAATTACTTGGAGTATGTAGAAATTTTGCTAATTCGCTAATTTAAAATTTAGAACAATTTTTTTAACTCAGATATTCGATAGGTTAAGGGAGGCAATACCTTTAGACAGATGAAAATAAGCTGATATTTGTGAATTTTTTTGTATAGGACACCTTTGTTTTGCATTTTCGAAATTTCAGGTATAATTTATTATAACTATTGCCTATTACAGAATATTTTCTGTTTTGCAAAATATTTCAAAATGCCGGAATTATGACAATCCTTTCTGGAAGTGTTTTGGCGTGTCTCGTGAATCGGCGTGGGTTCTAGCGAAAGATATATTGGTCCGAAGCAAGTTTGCAGACAATGTTTCGAAAACTAACATTCACAGTTAGTAGATGAACCTCAGAAACGTGCAAAATATGTAAAATTGAAGAAATGGCGCGCTTCTAAAGAAAAACTTTGAATTTTATTGAAAATTTTTGCAATGTTTTGCAATAAAAAGGACTTTAATGTTCAATTTATTTCATACATTTAGGTTCATATGTTAGATAGTATTGTCATGGATATGTGGACAAAATTTGAGCGCGATTGCTAAACTAGTTTTTGAGTTACCAGCCACGGCAATTTTAAGAACGTAGTTTTGAGAAAAACGCGTTTAAAGTTTCAGTCCTCCGCACTGAACGCGTGAATACCCGCGGCGCTAATCGGCCATAACTTCAAAAGGGCTTCGTATTTCACTTAAAAATTTTGCACCTGAAAATTTTCAGACAATATTTTTAAGATGTTACACTAACATTTTATAGAAAAAAAATTTTGTAATTTTTTAAGATTCTAAAGGTATTGCCCCCCTTAAAAAATTTTAGTAAAATCTGAGATGAAGTCTCGCGAAAGTAGTGCAAGGTAGAAACGTTAATTGTACACGAACAACCAACCCTTGCTACAATTTATCAAAAGTCAAAACTATTCATAGCTTTATTAAAACAAAGAAAATTAAAATGTGAGAATTTAGCCTTGACTATACAATATTATAGTTGGACCCAAATTTCAAGTCAAAGAGTATTAAATATTGAAGCAAGGTTTCCAAGTGCGTCACGCGACGCACAAGTAAAAATATTTACCTCAAGTTATCGAATTAAGCAGAATTGTGCCTTGAAACTCCATTATATTCCATTACATCTACTCCATATCCAATCACCTGTTCATAGTTACAATATTAAAACACATTTCCTAACTCATAACTTCTTAAGTCAAAATAATTTTAAACAAATCAGAAGATAATTCGACTGTTTCTAAAATAAAATGCATCGAATTGAGGTTAGATTGTACAAATCCTTAAACTAAGAAAATTTCTGTCATTCTTCACCCAACACTATTTGAAATAACCATGTTCAAGAAATAGTAAGGTGTCCAAAGTCCCCATCGAAAAAAGGAACCCGTCAAAATTGCGCGAACGATTCGTAACGCCATTGACTTCGTGTGCCGTCTTTGCGAGAGACGCTCGGCGTCGATCGAATTTGCAAAATGGCTGTGCACGAAGGTTGAATTCCTGACGAGGTAATTCGCGGGGGCGTACACGTCTCCTGGAAGGGAAAAAGTTGTAACGGCTGCGAAATTTAAAGTGAATTCCCTCGAAATACGCTTTGCTTCGTTCACGGTGACAAGTTATCAGCACATTGTTCGGTGAACATGCAATGATTTCTCATATGTTGCATTTTTACGTCCGTGTCGCTGAGGATTTTCTTGTAAAATCGTGGATTTCTTGTACCGTGATTATAGGACAATTTTTATTATCATGTTGGAACGTTTGGGAGACATTTTTTTAGGTGGCTCATGGGAGGTTTTCGGCCATTTTGTTTTAACTAACGCTTGATGTGCCTTGTGCTCAACAAAACTTATTTTAAATTTGGAACGTTTATTATAAGAATATGTAGAATTTTATTATGACAATGTATACAATGTATTTCATTAAACAAAATATTTCGTTGAGCGTCATTCGTTGTTTTATACCATTGGTCCCAAAGTAAGCTGCGCGCGCAACTCGCCAACCTAAAATAGCGGTACCCTACGACTCTTCCAAAGATAAAAGCAATTCGACGTCAATTTTCGAGGCTCTGAAGGGCTCATTTTAAAAGGGAAGCTTCAAAGAATAAGACAATATTTTTGTTTAATTTAAACCCTTACGCCCCTCGTTGAAAGAAACGCAAATCAGAATTTGTTTAAATTTTGCAACATTCCATAACAAATTGCCGGAATTAAAAAAAATATTTTAAAATAGCCCAATCCTTTGTGAATAAGACAGAAAAAGATTTAGCTAAATCGGTTGAGTAGTTTCCGAGAAAAAAAATCGTGAGTGAAGCCTATTTTCGCAAAAGTGGGCAAAAATTGCAAACTTTGAAGGCTTGTTATTCCTTAACAAATTCGAAACCGGCAAAATGATGACTTAAACCCCCCCTAATTTCACGGGGACTACGACATATGTTGATTAGAGCAAAATCGCGGATGGTGGGGTCCAGTAGTGATGGGTTTGACGTGGAATGACCTAATGTGTATAATGTATATAGTGATGTATATAATAATGTATACATAACAATATACATTATTACATCACTACACAATTTTATTACAACAATAAATAAACATTGGTTAAATCAGTATAAATATACAAAAACAAATATAAAAATATTACAACAAATATTGTAACCTAACATAACCTAAAAATTATAATTTGCCCATAAAGCAAAATTTGCATTCACAATTTGCTCCAAAAGAGAAAAAAGGTAAAATGGCGACTGATCGAGTGTCAGCAGTGTGCTCCACTATTCGACATTTGCATTCGATCCGATTTAGCGACGCGTGTCACGTTAATCAGGTTACATGCATTAAGTCTCCCTCGATTGTTTAAAATTCATTGGTCGATCGATCGACCTTGTTTCTGACCGAACACCCCGTCACTCCACGTCGTCATTAACATATTTGCTAACAACGATATTCGTAAACAAATCACTCGATATTCTCGTCGAACGCTCGATCCATCATTTGCCTGCTTTTTTCCTGTCGGACGATTGTTTTTGTTCAAACAGGGCTAGGTATTTTCTCGTTAGCTAAAACGATGAACATTGTGGTTGTAGGATATTCATGTATTCGGATGAAAGCGATATTGTTTAAGTAAGTAATTTGATTGGTATTTAAGAAATTTGAGATGGAAATATATTTTTTAGTTTTGAGGTATTGGATTATTGACTGCTGTTTAATAGGTGGCAATATAGCAAGAGTGTATTAATAATAATATTAGAAAATAATTTATTTTTGAGTATCACACAAATTCAAATCTTCAAATTTCCAGATGGATAATAATTATAACTAGGTTTATGATATTGCAATATGTGTGGCAATATAACGAGAGTCACTGTATTAATAATAATATTAAATATTATTATTATAAATAATTCTTAATATTCTAAAAATTTATATCTTCAAATTTCTAAATTGCAAAAAGTAATTGAAACTAGGTTTATAACTGCAATTTAATATATGGCAATATAACGAGCGTCTGCTGAATTAATTATAATATTGTCGATTACCTTCTAAATAATTGTCAGCGTTCAAAAACCCAAATCTAAAAATCTAAAAATTTTCAATTTCCAAAAAGGATAATTGTAGTGACAAGATTTATGACTGCACTTTAATTAGTGGCAATATAGCGAGTGCCCACTATATTAATAATTTTGTCAAATACTTCACTCTTAATAATTCCCAATATTCCAAAAATCTAAATTTTCAAGTTTACACATTTGAAAATATTAATATTTAGGGTGACTAGGTTTTACTGCAATTTAATGAGAGGCAATATAAGGAGTGTCACTGTATTATTAATAATATTGTTGAATATCTCATAAATAATTCCCAATATTTCAAAAACTAAAGCTTCAAGTTTACACATTTGCAAAAAATATTTAGAATGACTAGGTTTTACTGCAATTTAATGAGAGGCAATATAAGGAGCGTCACTGTATTATTAATAATACTGATGAATATTTTATAAATAATTCCCAATATTCCAAAAACCTAATTTTTCCACAATTTCAAAATTCAAAAACAAATTTCTAAATTTCCAACAATAAAAAATAAGGAAATTGTATAAAATGAATACAAAGAAAATTTTCTGCATACAATTTTATTCTCCAACCTCGGAATTCAAGTATAAAATACTATTCGAATTTATACAATGTAATCTGCCGTACTAAAATAGAAAACCGGAAAATAAACAATGCGTATTTCGAACAGGTACCCAGTAAACGTTGCGCAAAGATGGCCGACAAGATGGCCGACTCCAGCCAAACTGCTCTACAAATTTATCTCATATTTGTCTCCGTTTTAAAAGATCGATACCCATCCGCCATCTCGTCAGCTCCAGTACAATCGTGCAAAAATACAATCTCAATAAAATCCTTATTACGCCTTATATGAATGTTCCTTCATGTTTGTTCTCGATCGAACAATCTCGAATCGCAACTAAAACTGGTCGACGATCAAAAATGTCCAAAAGTTAAAAAAAAAAACAAAATTGTTTCTAACTACGTTCTTCGTTCTGAGTGCTAAAAATTTGTTCATATATCGCCGAATCGAAGATCGGAGAAACGCTCGAGCTCCGCAGAGAATAAAAACGAAGAAAAATAAAAAAATACAATGAATGAAATAAATTGTTCTAATTGCTCTATCTAGTTACGAACGACAGGACGCTAGTTTCATTTCTAATTCACGCGTTGACTACCGCGGCGGACATCTTGAAATCGGCAATATAAAAAAATGTGGTTAAGTTTTTAGTTTGCATTATTAATTTCTATTTTATTTATAATAATAAATGATATTATTTATTATTATAAATCGTAATCGTTCGCGTTGGATAAATGTTATCCCCTCGCGTTATATGGCATAATCGGCGCACGGCACTCAACGCGTTAAATCACAGCCGCAGTTTTGAACTGTTTTTTCGACTAAATCGAGGAAAAGCTTCGTCAATCGAGATCCGGCAGTCCGGTGGAGCTAAAGTCTGTGGAATCCTTTTGTGTTCGTTCAAAATGGCCGGCCGGCGAAGTGTCCTTCAAACGGTTCTCGAAATTCAGAAAATCAGAACCACACGGGCTACAGGCCTGCATAGATCGGAAAAAAGTTCTCTAATTCAGCGGTCTGTGAATAGTAAAGGCTTTCTGGGGTGTTTACTTGAAGCAAGAAACTGTCTGGCACGCCATTTTCCGGGATCTGTCGATCTAAACGAGGAGACGATATCACGGTGCTGTCTGTGCTGTTGCAGAGGGATCCTACGCCGTCCATTAACTGTGAACAAAATTATTTTTATTTTATTAGTTGTTCCAATTTTAATATACAATGTTATGCAGACAGTTATATATAATGTTATATAAACAGCAATATACGATATGGTGCAAAATAATAAAATGCATAATGTGCAATATATATGAAGTAATATACAAAATAATATACACAAAAATAATATTTAAAATGATATACAAAAAATAATATTCAAGATGATATACAGAAAATAATATTCAAAATGATATACAAAAAATAATATTTAAAATGATATACAAAAACTAATATTCAAAAAGATATACAAAAAATAATATTTAAAATGATGTGCAAAAAATAATATTTAAAATGATATACAAAAAATAATATTTAAAATGATATACAAAAATAATATTCAAAATGATATACAAAAACTAATATTCAAAATGATTTACAAAAAATAATATTCAAAATGATGTGCAAAAAATAATATTTAAATGATATACAAAAAATAATATTCAAAATGATATACAAAAAATAATATTCAAAATGATATACAAAAAATAATATTCAAAATGATATACAAAAAATAATATTCAAAATGATATACAAAAAATAATATTCAAAATGATATACAAAAAATAATATTCAAAATGATATACAAAAAATAATATTCAAAATGATATACAAAAAATAATATTCAAAATGATGTGCAAAAAATAATATAAAAATAGTATACAAAATAATATGAAAGATAATATGCAAAATACATAAAGTAACATTCAAAATAATATATAAAAAATAACATTTAAAATAATATGCTATATAACATGCAATACAATATGGAAGGTAATATGTAATTTAATATGCAATATAATATGTAATATAATATGCAATATAATATGTAATATAATATGCAATATAATATGTAATACAATATGCAATACAATATGTAATATAATATGCAATATAATATGCAATACAATATGCAATATAATCTGCAATATAATATTCAATATAATATGCAATATAAAATGCAATATAATATGCAAAATAATATACAAAATAATATGCAATATAATGTGCAATATAATGTGCAATATAATGTGCAATATAATGTGCAATATAATGTGCAATATAATATGCAATATAATATGCAATATAATGTGCAAAATAATATGCAAAATAATATGCAAAATAATATGCAAAATAATGTGCAATATAATGTGCAAAATAATATGCAAAATAATATGCAATATAATGTGCAAAATAATATGCAATATAATGTGCAAAATAATATGCAATATAATATGCAATATAATGTGCAATATAATGTGCAATATAATGTGCAACAAAGCTTCAAGTCTACACATTTGCAAAAAATATTTAGGATGACTACGTTTTACTGCAATTTAATGAGAGATGCAATATAATATGCAATATAATGTGCAAATAATTCCTAATATTTCAAAAACTCAAAGCTTCAAGTCTACACATTTGCAAAAAATATTTAGGATGACTACGTTTTACTGCAATTTAATGAGAGGCAATATAAGGAGTGTCACTGTATTATTAATAATCCTTGAATATCTTATAAATAATTCCCAATATTTCAAAAACTCAAAGCTTCAAGTCCACACACTTGCAAAAAATATTTAGAATGACTAGGTTTTACTGCAATTTAATGAGAGGCAATATACGGAGTGTCACTGTATTATTAATAATATTGTCGAATATCTCATAAATTCCCAATACTTCATTAATATTTACTGTAATCCACACCCAAACCTAACCCACAAATTCATCCACTAACATTATACTTGTTTTCTACGTGATCATGTGACCTAGTTCACCGACAAGATAAAGTGACGTTAATTTCCCAAAATCCGAAATTAATTCCCGAAATACCCAAAGGCAGATTTTGCCAAGTTGGCAAACGCGGCGTGAACGCGTCGGCGGGAAAACGGAAACGCGATAGGACGATACGCTTAATGAGTGAACAAATTGAAGGTAACCATGAAATTTCTTACCAGCTTAGTTTTCTCCTCGACTACTTCCACAACGTTGCCCTCCACCGTGCTGGTAATAATACCTGTTCCCAACTTCTTGCCCAGGATCTTTACCTCCTTCCTGCATCCACCGGAAGCGTTCACGGCGTTGGTGTCGCAGCCGTTCATGTTCGAGGCGGTGCTCTTCAAGAACTGCTCGTACGGGCTAAGTAATTTCGACTCTTGATACTGGGACACCATCAGCTCTTGGTTATGGTTCTTTGGACCCAGAATCTTCACCTCGCCGAGACCAGAAAACAGTTTCGATGACGAGAGACAATTCGGTTTACTGCCCAGGACCTTTCGGATAAAATTCTTATTATTTCTGAGGTGATTTTAAGGGGTTTGATTTTATGGGGGTGGTTTGGGGATGTAGAAATTTGGAGGGCGCAGTTGGGCAGTAGTTTCGAAGTTTTGATGTGGGGAAAGTTTTAAGTTATTGGGATAAAGTTTTAGTTGTGGGCTTTCAAGGTGGAATAGGGAGAATTTTTTAAATTTTAAGCATTGGGTCCCAAAAGTTGGAAGAGAAGTATGAAATTATTGAATTATAAAGAATTTTAGATTGAAAGTTATTGTACTTAGAAAGTCTCTAAGTTTGTAAGTTCTGATATTATCGAGTTTTGATGTTTTAAAACAGATAAGTCCCAAAATTGTGATTTTTAAGTCCCAAACCCAAATTCTACAATGTGTAAATCTCCACGACCAAATATTCCAGTTGGAAACAAAGTCCCAAAGTCCTAGAATCATCAAGACACAAAAGAAATATCAAGTTCCAAAACACGTAAGTCCCAAAATTGTGATCTTCAAGTCCCAACTCCAAGTTCTATAATGTAGAAGTTCCCAAAACCTATTAACCCAGTTCTGAAGTCCCAACATCACGGAAACAAAGTGCCAATATCTCAGAATCATCACGTCTCAAAGTCCCAAAATCACAAGTCCCTAACTTCCAAAATCATAGATTAGGTCCCAATATTCAGAAATTTGTATATTCAAATCACTGAATTATCAAACTTCTAATATCTCGAATCAATAAATCTCAACATTTCAGCAACTCCAAGTCCCAAAATCTCTAAATTTCAAAGTAATCAAGTCCCAAATTCAAATATCCAAGTCCCAAAATCACAGAATGTCAAGTTGTCAAAGTTCCAAAGTACTCCAGTCCTAAATCTAAAATTTGTAAGTCCCAAAATATGTACTTCCAAGGTTCTAACACCCTAGGTCCCAAATTCCAGAATCCTCAAGTCCCAGAATTCCAAATTTCCAAGATTCAAATTTGTAAGTTCAAAATTACCAAAATTCCAATATTTCAATATCTTAATATTTTAAATTCTTCAAATTTTGATCTTGACAAGTACTAAATCTTTAGGTCCCCAAATCCATAATTCCCAAATCCTCTATTTTCCAAGTTGTCAATTCCCAAATCCCCTATTTTCCAATTCCTAAGTCCCCAATTCTCAAGTCCCCAAATCCCAAGTCCCCAATTCCCAAGTTCTCAATTCCCAAATCATTTATTTTCTAAGTCCTCAATTCCCAAGTCCCCAACTCCTAAGTCCCAAATACATAATTCCCAAATCCTCTATTTTCCAAGTTCTCAATTCCCAAATCCCCTATTTTCCAAGTCCCCAATTCCCCAATTCCCAAATCCTCTATTTTCCAATTCCTAAGTCCCCAATTCCTAAGTCCCCAATTCCCAAGTCCCCAATTCCCAAGTCCCCAATTTCCAAGTCCCCAATTCCCAAATCATTTATTTTCTAAGTCCTCAATTCCCAAGTCCCCAATTCCTAAGTCCCCAACTCCTAAGTCCCAAATACATAATTCCCAAATCCTCTAGTCCCCAACTCCTAAGTCCCCAGTCCCCAATTCCCAAGTCCCCAATTTCCAACTCCCCAATTCCCAAGTTCTCAATTCCCAAATCATTTATTTTCTAAGTCCTCAATTCCCAAGTCCCCAACTCCTAAGTCCCCAACTCCTAAATCCCCAACTCCTAAGTCCCCAACTCCTAAGTCCCCATCTCCTAAGTCCCCAACTCGTAAGTCCCCAATTCCCAAACCCCCAAATCCCCAAATCCCCAAATCCCAATAAATCACCCCTCAGACCCCCAAAACTTCCTCCCCCTATCCACACAAACCTTACCTTCGGATTCGAAGCGATCGACCCCAGAATCTTCATATCCGACTGAGTAATAGGTATCAACCCAGCATCCCCTTCACTATCATCAAACACAGACGGTAACTTCATTTTAGTATCATACACCGAATGATGATCATCCATGCTAGAACTATTAAGGATGTTCAAATCCTCAGTCAAGCTTGTATTACTCTTCAAGTATGGCAACGTATCATTTAAAATCGACATTGGAGTGTGATTCTTCATTAAAAGAGACGATATGGCGTGATGAGACGTTGTCGATAGAGTCGATATGTCGCTTCGATGACTGAGGATGTTTGTTAACTCTTGCTGGCTCGATGGCACTCCTATAGCTGCAAGAAAATTAAAATACACGTATATTTATTAGGAATAATCTAGTTCAAACTTTGTGCGATCAATGCAGCACTATAATTTTTAATAGCAAGCTTCAAATAGTACGGTGTCGTTCAACTACTTTGAAAGAAGTTTATTGACCTTGATGCGCAGTAGGATACGAAACGCGATAAACCTGCGCAATGAAGGTGATATAATAGACATACTATTGTTCGTCTATAGTAACTTCACTGCGCACGATTATCTTTCACGGTTACGGACTGCGCAGCCATTTAATGTTCAAGGTCATTCGAAAAATGTGACCGATAACTTGCAAATTAAATTGTCATGTATTACAAGTATTACCGAAGGTTATCATCTAAAAATATTAACAAATGTCATAAAATATTTTTCAATAGAAAATCTTAAAAGGGAGAAGTCTTCAAACTAGTACATGCTGTTTTTGTATAATAACAAAGCTTCCTAAAATTGGAGCTGGATTGCGACTCACTCTCGTCCTCAGCAACGTTGACTCCGCTCTCAATGGTCAACGGTTTCGGGCCAAGAATCAAATCATCGATTTTGGACTGCGAGAGGAAGCTAATGCCGTCCACGAAGCGGTCGTCGAGGCTCTTGCTGTCGAGGATTCGGATGTCCTTGTCCTCCAGGATCTCGATGCCATCCATCGACATGGATTTCTGCGTCGTGCCGGAATCGAGTACCATGATCTGATTATCGGAATCCCCGATGATGACTTCCCCGTTGCCACGCATATTCACCACATTGATCGCGTCCGCTTCATCGCCGTCCAGAATTGTCACATCGTGCGAATTCTGCGCCATCAGATCTCTCGCCTCGCTGTTTGTCATCACCTATGAAGCGACATTCGGCTGTGAGATCTAGTTTTGAGGCTTGATTAAGGTTAAGATTCAGATTAAGTTTAGCTAGGTTAGTGGCTAGATGGAGATTACGTGTTAGATGGAGGTTAGGTGTTAGATGGAAGTTAAGGCTAAGTTGTGACAAGACTGAAGTTAAAATTAGGATTAAGTTGTCATCGAGGTCAAGACTAAGGTCAAGGTTAGTCAAAGTTAAGGTTAAGTTACAGATGAAGGCTGAAGATGAAATTAAGGTTAGGTTGTCATCGAGGTCAAGACTAAGGTGAAGGTCAAGGTTAGTCAAAGTTAAGGTTAAGTTATAGATGAAGGCTGAAGGTAAAATTAAGGTTAGATTGTCATCGAGGTCAAGACTAAGGTGAGGGTCAAGGTTAGTCAACGTTAAGGTTAAGTTATAGATGAAGGCTGAAGGTAAAATTAAGGTTAGATTGTCATCGAGGTCAAGACTAAGGTGAGGGTCAAGGTTAGTCAACGTTAAGGTTAAGTTATAGATGAAGGCTGAAGATAAAATTAAGGTTAGGTTGTCATCAAGGTTAAGGCTAAGATGAAGGTCAAAGTTAGATTTTAGACCAGAGTTAAGGTTAAGATCAAGGCTAAAGTATAAGGTCAAAGTTAAGAGCAAAGTTTTTGGCCAAGGTCAAGTTTTAGGTTAAGGTCAATGTTATGGACAAGCTTTAAGTTAGGACAAGATTAAGCTTAAGGTTAGGATCAAGTTTAAATTTAGCTTCAGGTGTACATCAAGGTTAAGACTAAGGTTAAAGTTGAGGTTTCAGATCATAGTTAAGGTTCAGGTTAAGTTTCAGGTCAAGGTTGAGGATAATATTAAGTGTTAAGTCAAGGTTGAGGATAATATTAAGTGTTAGGTCAAGGTTGTAGTTAAGATCAAGTGTTAGGTCAAGGTTGAAGTTATGATTGAGTGCTAGGTCAAAGTCAAAGTGGAGGTTAAATGTTAGATCAAGGTTGAAGCTATGATTAAGTGTTAGGTCAAGGTTGAATTTATGATTAAGTCTTAGGTCAAGGTTGTAGTTAAGATTAAGTGTTAGGTCAAGGCTGAGGTTATGATTGAGTGCTAGGTCAAAGTCAAAGTGGAGGTTAAATGTTAGATCAAGGTTGAAGCTATGATTAAGTGTTAGGTCAAGGTTGAATTTATGATTAAGTCTTAGGTCAAGGTTGTAGTTAAGATCAAGTGTTAGGTCAAGGTTGAGGTTATGATTGAGTGCTAGGTCAAAGTTAAAGTGGAGGTTAAGTGTTAGATCGAGGTTGAAGCTATGATTAAGGTTAGGTCAAGGTTGTAGATAAGATGAAGTGTTAGGTCAAGGTTGAGGTTATGATTGAGTGCTAGGTCAAAGTTAAAGTGGAGGTTAAGTGTTAGGACAAGGTTAAAATTAAGATCAAGTGTTAGGTCAAGGTTAAAGTTAAGTTTAAGTGTTAGATGAAGGTGATAATTAAGCCTTAAGTCAAGTTTAAATTTAAGGTTAAGTTTCATACCAAGTTTGAAGTTAAGCTTAACGTTTGGATCCAAGTTAACACTAAATTTTATGTCAAAGTTAAATTTGAAGTTGTACATTATGTCAAATCAAGTTTAAGATCAAGGTCAAGGTCATCATAAAAAGTCCCCATAAAAACATTTATCAAAGCAATTAAACTTGTTCATCATCTAAATAATGATCAAACGACCTCTAAAGCGCTCTACTATAAATAAACAATAAAAACAAAGCACAAATAAATATAAAAACAAAGACAAAAACGTTGATCACCTCATAACGCCCATCTTCGGTGGCTCTCACGAATTGTATTCCACCCTGGGCGGCCAGTTCCAGCAACTCGTTGCAATCCTCCATCGACGTAGACACAACAGGACCATTCTGACGATCTGGCTCGTTCCTATGGGGCTCGGTGTACGTGAACTGAGAATCCAATGCCGTGACCAGACTCTCTGCCGACAATACACACCGAATAAACACCATACTGGCAACGACACTTTGAAAAACATCACCGCTTTAACGAGCCAATTATGGAAGGACAACGGCACCGGGCTCCCTTGGCGCGAATGTGCTCCTGACTGATATCGCCCAGTTAACATCGTAACGAAACGATTACCTTATCGATATTATGGGGTGAAATTTTCTTCCTTGGAAACTGCTTCTACTTTGTGGCGGGATAAATAAGGGGGTGAAATGCTTGCTAGGTGAATCTTGGGACTTTAGGAAATTTTCAAGCTGGAGAGTTATGGCAAAAAAATTTGGCGCTGTTATACGGGTAGTTAGCAGCAATTTATATTAAAGGCGCACCTCCCACAAAATGGGAGTGGTTCTCAAAATTCGGACTTTACTTGGAGAAACCTTGACAAACTGAGATGCTGATTTACTGTTATTTAACAATGCATAATGTTGTCATTAATAGGAGCCAATAGTTCCAAGATTCTGAGCAGTTTTCTAATTCGAATGGTTCTCAGATTTCAAACAGCTGATAGCCAGCCAAGCTAAGAGACCTAGTTGAGCACCATTGACAAGGTGTGAGAACCATTGACAAGGTATGAGGTGCATTGACAAGATATACGAACACCACTGACAAGGTATGAGAACCACTGACAAAGTGTGAGAACCATTGACAAGGTATGAGGTCCATAGACAAGATATACGAACACCACTGACAAGGTATGAGAACCACTGGCAAAGTGTGAGAACCATTGACAAGGTATGAGGTCCATAGACAAGATATACGAACACCACTGACAAGGTATGAGAACCACTGGCAAAGTGTGAGAACCATTGACAAGGTATGAGGTGCATTGACAAGATATGAACACCATTGACAAGGTATGAGGACCATCAACAAGGTATGAGGTCCATTAACAAGATATATGAAGACCACAGACAAGGTATGAGAACCACTGACAAGGTGTGAGGACCATTGACAAGGTATGAGGTGCATTGACAAGATATGAACACCATTGACAAGGTATGAGGACCATCAACAAGGTATGAGGTCCAT